ATGGCCAATCTAGGACCTGAATTTCATTATACTGCAGCCAATTTCTCGTTCGTTTGGCAGAGTGAGATGACGCTTTATTATTTTCAATATTTCCGTTTTTTTTTCTGAAAATTTTTTATAATTCCTTGAACCGACGACTAGCCCGATTTAATTGATTGGCTATTTCACCTAAAGTATTCCCAGACTTAAAATACTCGATGACTAAACTTCGTATTACTGTGCATATTGGCTTACCACGTGCCATCGTTACAAAATTGTTATTAACTTTAAGTAAGTACACATTTTTTACATTCTGCATTATGTTACCATTTCTACATTATGACTAGATAGTGATTATGTGACACTGTTTGCTTTTGTTTTGATGTACTTTCAATTCTAAGCTAAGCATGTTCAGCGTACGAACTAATAGTGGTCACACTTTGCTCATCAGTTACGCAAAGCACTTAACTAAATAAATGTTATTGTTGTTATTGTTGGAAGTACAACAAAAGTTTTTTTTTCCAAAGTTAAGAGAATAAAATGATCTCTCAGAAAAAAATATGTGTTATCTTCATTAGTATTGAAAATATCGTCTATGGAACATTGCATACGGGTAAAAAAATATGCCGAATTAATAGTGGTCGGTGCTCGTATATTATTAAAAATGAAATGGATATGATGCCACCTGACAAAATTGTTATCAGAGCAGATAAGACTCCTGTGGGCCAACACATCATATGATGCACTGCAGTATCCTATTTAAGTGTTTTAAAATTTTTTTCGACATAATGTAATTGTTATCATTTGCTTAGCTTTGCACAGCAAGCTGCTCAGCTTTACGTTCCATTTGTTGCCTGTTCAGTTCGTTTTCGTTATCGTATCTGGTACGGAGAAGCCTGGCTTTCCGTCAATATCGTATTCGGTGCTAGTTACCTACATGCAAATAAACATTGTGAACCCTTTTTAAATTGAATATTTTCGCAATTATCTCGCTAATACTTTGCATATTTTTGAATCATAAAACAGCTTATGATTATACATTTTGGTGACCCCGACGTGATTAATAATTCCACAAATCGTTAATCGGTTAATCGTGTTAAAAAACATTAATTTACATAATCGTGTTTATGTACACATAAGACATTCAAGTACATAAGTCGGAGAGTTCAAAGTTCATGAGTGCCTACTGCACCTCAAATAAGCAGCCATGTGCATCTATGTTTTCGAGGGCAACGAATATCAGCAGTTAGAACAGGTATTCGCGCGCGTCATCTACTCTCGCTCTTCCGGGCTTTCGTTTTCTCTCGTGTTCGTAATGTCTCAAATGACGATTGCGCAAGGCGCAATCATGATATGCGTGGGCGCTTTCAATCCAAAATACAATAAATGAATGTGAAATTGACAATATTTCAGAAACTGAGCTGGAAAACGTGTGGAAATGCTGTAAAATATTCAGACCTCCTTTAATAATAATGACGGTGCTTGACAAATTAGAGGAGCTGGACTTTCTTTGAAGGCCGCATGCTACATTCCATCCAACGGATGCAATTTAGCGCGCCGCCGTGCTCGACGCTTCGGCAAGATGAGCAGTCCACTATAGTGATAAACCGGTCTCATTTGCCTGAGCTTAAGTTGCCTACTTTCAGAGGTGGATATACGGAGTATGCAGATTTTGCTTCGATGTTCCCATCAGTGATCGCGAAGGATCCCGATCTCACCGATGTATAAAGGTTACAGCTTTTGCGGTCAAGCTCAAGAGGATCTGCGTTGGATACGATTCGTGCGCTTAAGATAAGTGGTGCAAATTATGCAGTGGCGTATGAGCTACTTTACAGGCGATTTAACAATAAGAGTCTTATTTTCCAGGCACACATCATTGACAATTACAAGCAAGCTGCGAGAGTTGTCCGACAAAGTTAACGCAAATATGCGTGCATTTTTGAGCTTGGGCAATATGCAAGATGTAGCTGGCAGCATCGTCGCTCATACAATTCTGGGCAAAGTGGATGCTGCGACACAGGCAAAGTGGGAGGAAGTTGCGCCATTAAACGTCATACCATCATGGGAGCAATTTGCAACGTTCTTGGATAGCCGATGCCAAAAATTGGAAAATATCGAGCATGCAATGGCATCATATTAAAGGAAGCAAAACGCCTCTCTCTGTCCATAAACTGCCTTAGAAAAGGCCACAGAATGAACTTGTGTAGAACTTGTGGTGGTCCCGCTGGGACTTGGGTACCCTGCCGTGCACTGCTCGATTCCGGATCACAGTTGCACATTATAACTTCACGATTCGCTCACCAGCTCCAGCTTCGATAGACCAAGTCGTCAGCCTCCGTGTCTGGTCATGATGATGTCAGTTTCAAATCTGATGGATGCACTGTTCACTTATGCTTGCAATCATTGGTCACTGACTATTCCGCAAATATCAATGCTTTGGTCGCTCCTTCTATTACTGATAACCAACCAAATTTCACGATTGACATATCTCTACAGGATTGCAATACACGAATTGAACAGATGGTTCGTTCTTTTTGCAAACTCGAAAGTGGTGTCGATGAGGCTATAAAATTTACCAAGGAAGCTAAAGCTTATTACAGGCGCCTGCGTACTGGCGAGTATTCCGACCGACTGCCTGTAAAGCTCAGCCAGATCTGCTTGGCGATTCCTATACGCAAGCCTATCGTCGATTTATAAACTTAGAATGAAAGTTAGAACGCATTCCACTTCTCAAAACACATTACTCTGCATTTATTAAGGAGTATTTAGATTTGGGTCAAATGTAGCTTGTACCAGCTTCGCTAAACTTGTGCAAGTATTTCCTACCGCATCATTGCGTTCTGAAGGAAGACAGCCCAACGACAAAGTTGAGAGTCGTGTTTGATGGATCCGCATCCACATCCTCTGGTGATTCTTTAAACGACATACTGATGGCTGGTCCTTCCACTCAGTCAAAGCTCGCAAACACGCTTGTTCGATTTCGTACATTTCCTATCGCTTTAACAGGAGACATCTGTAAGATGTACCGCTGCGTGCGAGTATCAAGCGTGACTCGCCTCAAGAGGATATTCAGGATTTCCGACTTGATACCGTAACTTACGGTACAAAGCCTGTGTCGTTTCTCTCCGTTCGCACTATGCATCAGCTGGCTGATGATGATCATGAGGTATTTCCTATTGGCTCAGATATCTTGCGTCGTGGTTTCTTTGTAGATGATTTAATCACTGGTGGTGCTTCAACAAACGAAGTCATATAAATTATGAGACAAACCACAGGGCTGCTTGCCAAGGCTAATTTCAAGCTAAGGAAGTGGTGCTCCAGCAACACTGATGTTCCTAAACAAGTTCCGGAAGAGGACAAGGAAACTCTAGTCCAGTTTGATGGTGGCAGTGACATCACAAAAACTCTAGGACTGTCGGGGGATCCTGCAACGGATTTCTTCATGTTCACCTTTTTACCAACACTGACATCTGGTCGAATTTGCAAGCTCGCAGTGCTGTCGACTATTGCCAGATTCTATAATACGCTTGGTCTTATTGGACAAGTAATAGCAAAGGCTAAAATATTCCTGCATGCGCTTTGGAGAGAAAAGCTCGATTGGGATGAAAGCCTTTCAGCATCATTGACTACATCTTGGCATAATCTTATTGCAGATTTTGAGCGCACAAAGGCGCTGAAATTTCAGAGGCTTGCACTTTCTCCCGGTGGTTCCATTAAAGTGCATGGTTTTAGTTCTGCCAGAATAGAAGCCCATGGAGCTTGTGTCTACATCATTACGACAGCGCAAGGCGGGTTTCAAATTTTCGTTTCAAATCGCATCAGAACTATTTAAGATTTGACCGCTGGCATGGAATGTCGATATATTCCAACCATCTTGAATCCAGCGGAAAGCTTTGACAGCTCTGGATTGATGCGCGTTGGTGGCCGCCTAAGTAACTCTTCGCTCAACTTCGATTCCCAACATCCAATTATACTTTCAAGGCGGCATCCTTCAATTCGGTTGCAGTATTGGCCAATTGGAGGTCGAAAAATAGTGTGCAACGTTGTCAGCAAATGCACTATTTGTTTCCGAATCAAGACTCGTCTTGTAGAGCATGTTATAGCTGACCTGCCAAAGGATCGAGTTGATTCTTCGCACACTTTCATGGTCACTGATATGGATTTTTGTGGGCCGTTTTACTATAAAAGTGAGGTCCGCAATAAGGCACCAATAAAATGCTATATTTGCATTTTCATTTGCTTCGTCACTAAAGCTGTACATTTGGAGTTGATGAAAGATTTAACAACCGGAGCTTTCCTAAATGCATTAAAACGGTTTATTTTGACACGCTGTCGTCCTACGAAGATCTGGTCTGACAGCGGTACAAACTTCGTTGGAGCACGGAACGAGATGGCCGAGCTGAAGCGTCTTTTTGCATCCAGCGTGCACGTGCGTGCTGTGCAAGAATTTTGCCTTGCTGACGACATTGATTGGCGTTTATTTTAATAACCACCAAACACATCCATCCACGCTATCTGGACAGCACCAACAGTAACCCCCCCCCCCCCCCCCCCCCCCCCCCCCCCAAGACGCCTCTCCCCGGTGGCGACAGGTGGCAGCCTCACCACTGGGATAAGTCGCATCTGGCCCATCACCAGTTCGATTGACAATTCACTGATTACCGAAACTGATACAAGAGAAATAAAATCCAAACGGCTCCACTTCGATGACGACCATAAAAACGGACAAGAATCGGACAATGGAACGTGACAACGCTAAAGGAATCATCCAGGCTAGCACAATTTGAAGGAGAAATGGACGACGGACCACCCTTCAGGAATTAATCCCATAACAACATCACATGGGACACAGCTAGACAGACGGCCAGAAATAGAGTTCAATGGAAAAACGCTTGTAGAAGCCCTAAGCTCCCAAATGGAGTAAGAAGGAATTATAAAAAAAAAAAAGTGGATTGCGCGTTATTCATTTACTGATGGTGTACCGTGAATGGGCCGCACTAAGTCTATCCGTTCGTGATGATTTAAGTTCCTATCGATATATTGGGATTCTTATGTTAGTGTCATCGATATGTGTATTAATGACACCACTATATTCGGTTGCCATTTTCGCTTAACATATTCTATGATTGTACGAATTTTGTAGAGATTTGATTGACATTGTATCATTAAAAGAAACAATGGTTTCGATGCAATTCGTTTTGCAGCCTCTCCCTGGAACAGATGAACAATTCATTGAAAGGTAAAGTATTGCTCACATGTTTATGCAGATCCGTTTCTGCTCGTATACATTTGTATCTGAGAACTTACATATGTACCTATAATCTAAATTAATATATAAACGTGCTCAGAAATTGTTTTATATACGTGATGTGGATTAAAATTATGCTAAATTAAAAAATTAATCATAAATTAATGATAAGATACTACAACAAACGTGCATTTTCATGTTTGTACATATGTACATACATATTATAGAATTTATCACGTGTGTGTATGTTCATATGAATGTGTGGGTACAAACTTATGTACCTACGTAAGTATGTACAAATCCATGTAAATTTGCTCGAGTATAAAAAATAATGCATTGCTATTTGTTAACAAAGCGTTCGCTTTTAAAATATCTTATACGTATACATATATAGGGCGTAGCCGTATATTTATCGAGTTCCACTTACTCCAATAATTTCTCCAGTAAGAAATATTTCCTAGTGTTGGCAACATACATATGTATGTATATCTAGAAGTGAAAACAATACCACAGGTGCGATAACGACCGTTTAATATATAAATACATACATACATATGTATAGATGTAGATACAGTGTGTCACAGCTTATTTCGTGCAGGCGCAAAAATTTCTTTTCAAATGCCATTACCGGCAAAATATGAACCAAAGAAAGGTAAACGCCAATTTGTTGATAACTTAATATATACTTTAAAAGGTATTGCATTGTTTTCTATTAATAATATTTAAATAAAAAATAACAAAAACTAAAAAGGCACGACAATTTTAGGTCACAGCTTATTTCTTGCAGTGGCTTCATACTTAAAAAAAATGTATTTTAAATTAATATTTGGTTTGGCCATTTTTATATTGGATAAGGGTTTTCAAATGGTTGTTGATAGAAGCCACAAATTTGTTTGTAGTTTCTAATGGTGTTTTTTGCCATTCTTCCAATATGGCCTTCTTTGGGTCATTTCTGTTTCAAATTTTCCGTTTTCTAATAGCGAAATTCAAAATTGGGGGAATCATAGCGTGTGGACAGTTCCAGATCAGCCAAGTTTGCACAATTCCCAATTTATGTTTTGGGTCATTGCCTTGGTAAAATGGAATAAGATCCCCCAAACCTAACATATTGGTACTTTGGAGCAAATTAGTTTTCAATTTGGTGAGGTATATGTTATCCATGATTCTTTCCCGACTCTGGAGTCAGACATACAGGACCAAACATGTACACCTCCTCCTCCGTGCCTAAATGTGGGAATAAAATGTTTCTTTTGAAGCGGATTATTCAGTTTATGCCGTTCCCGCTTCATTCCGCCGGGTCCATAGGTATTAAATATGGACTTGTCTGCAAAAATTATGTTGTCCCACCATGAGATTGGCTTCAGAATGAGATCATTGGCAATTTGAAGTTGACACATTATTATTTCTTGTGGACATAAACGGCTTCCTAAAGGTTGTCGACCATTGAAATCGTATTTCCCCAGCACACAGAGGAGAGTTTCTGTAGAGGAGGAGCACCAATTAACGACCCAATAAGCGACCCATACTTAAAAATGCTAAAATATTTATATTGAATTGTGAAAAAACGGAAAATTTATGGAAATAAATTAGTTAACCCATTGCTAGTTGCAATGGAAGAAGAAGAACTCCATTTCAGTTAACCATTCGACATTGCTCGCGAACGTAAGTCATTGGACGGAATAAGCTGTGACCTTTTTATACCCTGTACCCGTAGGGTAAAAAGGGTATATTAGGTTTGTGCAAAGTATGTAACATGCAAAAGGAAGCATCTCCGACCCCATAAAGTAAATATATTCTGAATCAGCATGACGAGAGAAATCGATCTAGACATGTCCGTCTGGATGACGCAAGGATCTCAGAAACTATATAAGCTAGAATAACCAAAGTTGGCATCCAGATTCTCCTAGGTCCGAGAAAGGACGAGTTTATTTTATTTTTTTTAATTTTCCCCTCCCCCCGCTACAGAATTTCGTCAATAGCGTCCACATTTCAAATGCTACCTAAACCAAACTTTGCACACATAATTTATATAATATCTACTGTTGTTCAAAATTTTATTTAAATCGGTCAATTCTAAGAAAAGTTATTAGCAAAACAAATTCTCGCCAGTACAACCCCCACAAACTGCAGCAACAAGTTTTCTCTTCTTCTTCCTCTTTTTGCTGCTGCTATGGGCGCATATAACTCAGTGACGGAAGTTTACCTGGGTACAGGGTATTGTCTGTACTGTGGGGCTTGCTCGACTGTAGCGTTCTCTCTTGTTTTGGTTGCAATATGATCCATTTCTGTTTTGTCAAAATAAAGCAATGTTCGAAATTCACTAAACTTGTTAAATGTTGATTCAACAAAGTGTTTTCTTGCTACGGCGTTTTAAAAATTTGTATAACGCCTGCACGAAATAAGCTGTGACTCACTGTATATGCAGTGGTGGAAAAAATAATAGAAACGACATTCCACTTTTCACTAAAAACTCCAGCCCTGAATTTCTGGGCAAGTTATATGGGTTTCTTATACTATGCACGATAATTGGTTAAAGGTACTTCATTGTGATTTCGTTTTAATGCGTATTCTGACAGATTTGCTGAGTGCTCTGATTTGTTAGGTGACTACGTTTTTGGGTTGTAAAGCTCCCATTAAACTTATTTTGGTAATATTTTATCATTATAAGTAAAGGGTAAGCTCAAAATAACAATTATTGTAAAAATTTTCTCCTTAATAGTGGTATAAAGATAAGAATAGGTCGGGGTTAATAATAATAATTAAGCATAAAAATAAAAGCAAATCAATGGCTGTAATTGCAATATTATTGCTAAGCTAAGTCTAAAAAAGTTTAGAAACTTCTTTTACGGCAGTCAAAAAACACCCAATTTCTTCATCAGGAGATCTATGAAAGCAGTTAAATAGACTTGTTTCTAGTCGTACAATAATAAATTGGCTAATACGAGCCCTAACCACTATTAATTGGTACGGCTACGTTTTTTTTCATAGTGCAACTTTCAATGACATATTTATTTTTAGGTGATTATTTCCCAAACATATTTATACTTTTTAAAAGGGTCATTGAATTACCTTTAATTTAATATCAAAACATGCACACGTTTCACATAATAATAATGCAAAAAATCAATTTAAATAGGTCAACCTTCACTATACACGAACTATTTGACCATTATTAATTGGTACGGCAACAATATTTACAAATTAAACATGAGTATCACCGTTTTTTTTAAATAATATTATTAATTCTCGTTTTAATAGTAATAACTAAATTTAGACATTCCTCAAGAGTTATAAAGTCCAACATTTTCTGTAATTTTGATTTTAATCCAGACAGAGCACGTTGTGGGTCGTTTTTCAGCTTTCTTTTAATGATTACCCACAAGTTTTCTATTGGGCTTGATGCTGCCTATCTGGGACATCAATACTATTCTCTTAAACCCAAATATCGGTTGTTTTTGCAGGGTGTGTAGGTGCAACATCGTGTTGAAAAGTATTTCCCACAGTCACAAAGCTGTGAAATGAGGTTACTTTGTAAGATAAACTTGTATTTTTCTGCATGTACAGCTCCATATATAAAGTAAAGTGTCCCACACCCTTGGCTAACATGCATCCTCACCATTGTGATTACTAGAAACTTGGTTCAACGCCTAAGACAATCTTTGTGGTATGCCTCCGTACTCTTTCTTATTACTTTTTTTGAGCATCACCGCCCATAGCAATCGTTTTTTTTATTGGCAAAGCTGTGAGCAAACGTTTTTCTTTGGCCTAAAGACATCAAAATTATTTGTTATGTTCAGCAGGAGCTGCAATCATACCTTAAAGAAGCCATAATAAGTTCGTTTCGTTTTCTGTCGCGTCCATTCATGTTTTACTGTTTTCCCAATATTTTCAGACCATTTTGCCGCTATATCTCTCACAGTATTTCGCTGATTTTGAATTATAACTTCATTTTGTCACGTGTAGTCATTTTCGAGACTCGACCTCCGTTTGCTGTATTACTGTGAATATTGTCAATCTTTCTATACCTTTGCACTCTATTTTGTACCAGAGACTTAGAAAGCATACGATTTTTATAGCCTGTACCCAAAGGGTGAAAGGCTATACTAGTTTTGTGCGCATGTATGTAACACACAGAAGGAGGCGTGGCAGACCCCACAAAGTATATATATTCTTGATCAGGATGAGAAGCCGAGTGGATAAAGCCTTGTCCGTCCGTCCGTCTGTCCGTATGAACGCAAGGATCTCAGAAAGTATAAGAGAAAGTATGCTAGAATAACCAAACTTGGTTTCCATATTCTCCTAAGACCGAGAAAGTACGAGTTTGAGTTTTTTTTCGATGCACCCCCCCACTCCCCCGCAATTTATGTTTTCGTCCATAACTTCCATAATTTTTAGATTTTCGAACCCAATTGGTATATACCTCCAGTTGGTGATTATGAGTTTGTATGCCAAGTTTCATTATGATAGGTCAATTCTGAAGAAAGTTATAGCCATAAGTAAAATCGCTGCTCATGCGCTGCCTGCAGCTCTGTCGGCAGCGCTGCCCGCAGCTGTTGTTGTTGTTGCTGCTTTGGTTCAACTTTGTGCTGCATACATACACGCATATAAACACGCATAGGTACGTGATGTAAATGTATGCTGTTAAAACTGAACATAAACATGTATTCTAATTTAATTGAATTAATTAATTCATTCATTCATTTTTTTTAATAATTTAATTTTTTTTTTTAATTTTTTTTTTTTTCCCTTTTTTGTGGAGAGTACAGGCTATTTTACTGTCGGGCTTGCTCGACTGTAGCGTTCTATCTTGATTCTTAATTTGTCATAGTTGTTGCCCAATTTGAATTTTTCTATATTTGAAGCTTGACCTTACTCTCAAGCTGGCTTACCACGTGCCATCGTGCTCAAAAATTAGAAAACTTATTAAAAATTACAACTCAAAGGCATATGTTTTTAATATAAGGTTAGTTTTACAATTTATGTTCACATTTCACTTTTTTACAGCCTTATTTATAAAAATACTTATAATGGTCAAAAATATTTCGTGTATTATGAAGTTGTCTTATTAAAATGGTTTTTGTGCAGTATTATGTGAAACGTGTGCATGTTTTGATATTAAATTAAAGGTAATTCAATGGCCTTTTAAAAAAAGATAAATATGTTTGTGCAATCATCACCCACAAATAAAACACGTATAAAAGCTAATGTCGGGTGTCCCGACTTTGAAATACTCTGTACATATGTTTACAATAATTATAGAAAATAAAAAAAATTAAGAAAAAAAAAAAAAATTTGATCGATTTTACCTCTCTTGGTATTCGAACTCACGTAAAGGGTTTATAATTGCACATTTACAAAGGAATTGCGTCTGTGTGAGTGTATGTATGCCTATGCGCATCTATTCGTGTCTGTGTAAGCATTTTCGCAGTGAACCAAACAGCAACATCAACAGCAGCCGCGGGCAGCGCTGCAGCAGCAAATATATTTATGGCTATAACTTCTTGTTAAATCGGTCTATCATAGTGAAACTTGGCACACAGACACATAATAACCAACTGGGGGTATTTCCAAATAGTTCGAAATTCCAAGAATTACGGGAGTTGGAGAAAATTGCGATTTGCGGGGAAGAGGGGGGAGGGAGGGAAATTCCAAAATATACATTTTCTGCGTATTCACATAAGGCATCTGGGACTAAAATTTGGTGTTCCTAGGTCTTATAGTCTCCCAGATATAGGCGATTATACGAATGGAAAATCGGGAAAACCCCCATAGGGGGAAGTGGGGGGGGGGGATCAAAAAAATAAAACAAACTCATATAGAATACACACATAACGCATCTTCGTGCAAAATTTGGTATCTCTAGCTCTTATAGTCTCTGAGATCCAGGTGTTCATATGGACGGACAGACAGGGCTAGATCGACTCGTCTCGTCATGCTGATCAAGAATATATATATACTTTGTGGGATCTGCCACGTCTCCTTCTGCCTGTTACATTTTTCAGCTCCCGCAAACCTAATATATTTCTGTACATTTCATGTACAGAGTATAAAAAGGTCATTGAAAGTTACACAATCGAAAAAAAGCTGGCCGTACCAATTAATAGTGGTTAGGGCTCGTAGATGCTGATTTGAAAGCACATTCTGCAAGAAAAGTACCACGACTTATAAAAACAAAAATTCTCAGGCCGATTTGATGATGATTTGAATAGACCAGACTAAGCTAAGTTTGTTGGGATCTGATGGCAAGACGCCCCCCAAATCAAGCTCATGATCCGGAATACACTATAAAAACTATTAAAGCTGGAAGTGTCAACATAATGCCTATGGGTATGTTATTTATCGTTTGGGTGTTGATCAAATATTTTGGTATCTACGCCATGGATTACGTTAATATACTTAAAGCATATTGCTTCCATATTCCGAGGAAGAAATGTGGGAGTTTTTTCAAGATAATGGCCCTAAACCCACTTGGCAGTTTGCAAAAATAAGGTTCCATGAAATCAAACGTTCTTTGATGGAACGGATTTCACAAACATCCGACCTGAATCCCACATATGTGGGATATTAATAAAGAATATTTTTGGGCTTAAGTCCAAAAACAGAGACGATTTATGGAAAAAAGTGCAGGAAGTTGATACGCCATTGATCCCCCACAACTTGTTCCAAACTGGCGAAATCTATAAGTCGTCCGGGCACAGAAGCTTTCAAAAATCATGGTGGCACTACCAAATATTAGTAATAATCCCAAATTGTATAGATGGTTACTTCCTAGGAATTAAAAAACTAATTTTTCTCAGTTTGAAATATGTCGTTTCTATTTTTTTTTTTCCAACCCAAAAAGAAACAAATAGGTTTTTTTCGCGATCTAAATTTGGAAAACCTTATCTTTTTTTAAATTTAAACATGTAATCTAATGAATATTTAGGATAAAAAAAATTACACGCTGAAAGAAAACATTTGTATAGAAGAAAATTCGAATAAACGAAGAAAATTTTGTGTTTCTATTATTTTTTCCACCACTGGTGGACATAAGTAGAATATAAACAAGAAAGGAATGCTAAAGTCGAGCAGGCTCAACTCTTAAATACCCTGTACCACCCCACAAAAAAGTAATTAAATTAATTAATTAATTTAATTAAATTAATTAACTAAATTAATTTAATTAATTAACTAAATATTAATTAATTAAATATAAAATATTCCATGCATGCATACATACATTTACATTTATATCAGAATCGTGCCTTATGCGTGTTTGTGTACTTGTACATATGTATGTATGTGTGCATTGGGCCTGGTTATATGGCTATAACTTTCTTTCCGATCATTCTATCATAATGAAACTTGGTATACGGATATATAATTACTAATCTAATGTAACTACCAAATTTTAGTTCAAAATTCCAAGAATTACGGGAGTTATAGAAAATCGGTAATAGGGGGGGAGTGGGGGGGGTGGATCAGAAAAAATGAACAAACTCGTCCTTTCTCGGTCTCAGGAGAATCTGTATACCAAGTTTGGTTATTCTAGCTCTTATACTTTCGGAGATCCTTGCTTTCATACAGACAGACAGACGGACATGGCTATATCGACTCGGCTTGTCATGCTGATCAAGAATATATATACTTTGTGGGGTCTACCAAGCCTCCTTCTGTGTGTTCCATGTGCACTCGCATAAAACTAATATACCCTTGTACCCTTTGGGTACAGGGTATAAAAATCACATTTATAATTTTAAATTGTCGATTGGCTTGCTAAACAAGAATTATGGTGGTTTCGAGTACAACGCTATAATTTGGTTTAATCCAGGAAGGATCTGGAATTGACATTTTAATCTTTTAACTCGGCGTTCAACATTTAAATGAGAAAGTATACGTGAATGTTAATGTTATAATTTTTTTATGCATTCGTTAGATTTTGTTTAAAAAATTATCAGGGTTGAATCAAGGCAAACACTTTGCGGAACTCCGCACGGTATGGGTGTTTTTATATATTCTTTATCCTATTTAATACGTTTTTGGGAACGCGATCACGGTTGACAATCGGACACCAGCGATTTTAAGCATAACAGAGATTTTTGACCTTCTGCTCATTTTATATTTTTAATAGCTCTCATCATAGTTGATGCGACCAAAAAATTCTTAACAAAACCACAACATAACAAGAGAGAACGATACAGTGGAATAAGCCCGACAGTGAAATATCCTGTACCGACAAAACATCAGATTCGTGGGCAGAGACTACATTTATGGCTATAACTTTCTTCAAAATTGATCTATCATGATGCAACTTGGCACACAGACTAATAATCACCAACTGAAAGTATTTGCCAAATTTGAGTCAAAGTCCAATAATTATGAGAATTATCAAAAAAAAATTAACAAACTTAATCTACTTAGGGCTTAGGGTAACCTGGATACCAAGTTTGGTAATTCTAGCTCTTGTACATTCTGAGATCCTGAGATCTGAATATATATTCTTTGGGAGGTCGATAAATTAAAAAAACAAATTAAACCAAAGTCAGGGAATCATGCTCTTAGTTTTGGTACATATGTCCAAACATATATTATATAAATTATGTCCTGCTTTCGTACCTCCACAAATGCAGCATATGGGTGTATGTAAATCAATTCGTCTCCCGTGCAGATTAATTGGGTATACCTATGTATACCACGTTTACCACGTGTCCTTCAAACAGGTTATATGCCGGAGTAATTGCCGCCGAGAGAACGACTGGCTTTATAACTGCAGTGGCCGAACTGAGTAAGAAAGGGTTGCTATAGTGGACCTCACCCAACTCTTAAATTATCCGAAACTATAAAAAAATTGTATAAATGATAAAAATAAATATACCCTGTCCCAAACGTATACTAGTTTTGTGCGATGGTACATGTAACATACAGAAGGAGGCGTGGCAGACCACACAAAATAATGACATTTCATCGATTGGAAGTGAAGTTATTGCGTTTTAAGTGTCAGTATGTTTGTGTTATCGGTGCGAAAATGAGCTAGACCCAACATTAAATTTTGTTTTAAAATTGGTAAAACTTTTACCGAAACGTTTCAATTGATGGAACAAGTTTATGGCGATGATTGCCTATCCCGAAGCAGAGTGCACGAGTGGTTTCAACGTTTTCAAAGTGCTCGTGAGGACATAAATGACGATCAACATGTGGGCCAATCAAAATTCGTGATCACCGAAAATTCCATGGAAACTGTGCGTGAACTCATCAAAAATTAGCCGAAATCATAATTGAAATTGATGGAAATGGAATTGACCATCTCCAAAACATCGATTTATCGCATTTTGAAGCGTTATGCAGACGTAGAGGCCATTCAAAAGGCTTGCACCGGCATAATGGCGGGCATACCGGCCAACGAGCTAAAACACTCGTTCGACATGCTTTTGGATCGTGCAAAAAGCTGTATTGAAGCAGGAGACTATTTTGAATAAAATAAATTGATTTTGCCGAAAAACCATTTGTTCTGTTTTTTTTTTTTTAAAGTCCTGTTTACTTTGGTATACTTTGTATATAATGCCACGTCTCCGTCTGTGTGCTACACACATTTGCAATTAACTATTATACTTTTTACCCTTTGGATACCGACAGTTTTGGCATGAATGATAGGATAAACCACAGATGACTTTGACAATGCGAAAATAAAAGATGTGACAATCGACCGAATGAGAGAAACATTTTAGAAATGCAACGTTTAACCACGAAAACCAATATGTACCTAAATAAACAAACAAACAAATTTGATACCTCCAAAAAGTAGAAACATTTTATGGCACGACTATGAAATATGGATTACTTTATATTTTATCTGTTTAATTTGAAACAGTTACTGAATATAAAAAATATAACTACATTTTATTTGATATGCAGGATTCGCGAAGTGTCTGAAAAAGTTAACCGATTTGGTTATGGCACCCATCGAATATTTGAACAGTTGAAAATTCCAGTCAAAGAAGTAGTGATCGGACCAAGCCATATCGGAGTTCTTTTAGAGGATGGTAAAGCATTCCGGGTTTCGTTTTCTATAAACTCGGAAAAATTAGACTTGACGAAATTGGAAAATAAGAAGTATGTACAAAATTAATATTATTTTATGCAAAACACAAATCTAAACCCGTGTTTTTACAGTACTGTAGTTAGTGGACCTTCAACCACAAGTGCACCAAAAGCACCATCATCGTCTAGGCCCATGGCCCGGTCTAGAGCACGACTGCTGCGTGCAACTGGCAGATCTGGGTCGACGGGTCAAAGTTCTGGGTCAAGAAGTACAGGTGTTATTATTGGCGGAAGTTCATCAAATCGTCCGCTGGTAACTGTACCAGCAACATATGTGCCGGAGGAGCTTATATCTCAAGCTGAAGTGGTATTACAAGGAAAAAGTAGAAACCTCATTATCAGAGAGCTTCAGGTAAGCAGAACAAAAGTATATTCAAAAGAATAGTTTTTAAAGATTAAATATTCATCCCCAGCGAACGAACCTTGATGTAAATTTGGCTGTAAACAACTTACTTTCGCGGGATGATGAAGAAGCAGAGGATACCGAAGAGGGTGGCGATAATTACGTACCAGAAGATCTAATCTCATTATTGGACAATGGATTTACTGGTGAAAACAATAGTGTCATTATTGATCCATCCGATGGCCTTTTTTCAGAAGAAATTTTTAGCAATTACTCGAGCATTAGAAAGTAAGTTTTTACACTTATTCAGAAAGAAAAATCCGGCTGCCTTTTGGACACGCAACTTAATTGGGGGTCTAAAAATAGTCTCCACAAAACCCATTTCTTAAACATAACCGAATTTAAAAAAAAAAAAAAAAAACTTTTTTATTTCCATTCCCACAATGAAAATTTTTAAACTGTTAATTCTTTTGAATTGGTTTCTACGGAGATTATTAAAAGGCATGCCAGAGGTTTACATATCTTCTCGTTTCTAGTTTGCTTTTCGACCGTATACGTAGTGAACGGAGCAATACAGCCAGCTCAAGCACCGCAGATACTAACCAATCTCACCGTACATCGACATCTTCAAGTGGAGTTTTGTCTGGCAACTCTAGTTTATCTGCACAAATTTCTTCGGCGAACGCTGACCGTGAAGCTTTTAGTCGCTGGCGTGATCGTCAGTACTATGGGCCCCGCCGTTGGATAAGTAAAGAAGATTACTCGTGGGAAAAAGACGCTGGTATCTATATTTAAATTTAAATAGCTGTCCTGCATTTACAAACTTTCTTCGTTCTAGATTTAAAAAAAAAAGAATGTTCTACCACGCTATCTCCTATTTGGATATCAGAAGAACTTCAACCATGGCCTGATAAATCTACTACTCGATTCAAAACAATTGGAGCGTTATATTCAGAATTTATTGCGTTATCCGAAAACGGAGAACTTCATCAGTGGCGTTGGTCAGAGAGCGAGCCATATAAATCAGACGTAAGTTTCCAAACTATAAATTTCTTGTATGTATTTTTAATTTAATAATATAATTTATGAGCATTTTTATAATACAATTTAAAATGCAAGGAGTCAGGTTATACCATATTTTGAACCTAATAATGAAAAAGATTACATTTTATTGGTCTTCATTTTAACACGCTATATATATATATATATATATATATATATGGTATATATATATATATATAAACTAAAGTATGCTCTTCCTTTCTTAGATCATGAAAGTAGTAAGCATAGCCATCTGGACCCTCCAAATAAAATTTTTGTTCATCTGAAAAGACAACACGCTCCCATTCCTTGGTCCAGCTCATATTCGAGCGGCAGAAATCGAGCCGTTGAGCCTTTCGGAGCTGGTTTAGAGGTGCTTATTTTCAGGAGCTTTAAGTGTTCTGCTTTTGAAATAACTCTTTGTACAGTCCGAACACACGCCTTAACAGCTGTTTTTTCTTTAATTTTGGCGGCTGAGTCGTGTGAGTTTGAGGTGAGCCTCAATATAATTCGCTTGTCAGCTGCTGTAATCACAGAAGAGGGCCAACCTTTCATATTTTTCCCATAGTTATACTCATTACTTAAAAATGAGGAAATAACTTTACGGCTGCGCTTAATTATTTTTGAAATTTTTAGAATCGAGTGGCCACACCCTTTATATATAACTTTGTCATTAGTGAACCGATTGATTTGAGTAGACCAGAGTTGAAAACCTCAGTTCAAGAAATTGTACAGAACCAAATTAAATAAAAATATCTCATACTTGAAAATCGGTTGTTTATTATCAAAGATATTCAATGTTTACATACCGACATAAAAGATGGCGCACCCTGTATATTAGGTTTGTGCAAAGTATGTAACAGAAGAAGGCATCTCCGACCCCATAAAAAATATACAAGTATATTCTTGATTAGCATGTCGAGAGAAATCGGTCTAGACATGTCCATCCGTCTAGACGAACGCCTAAATTTCGGAAACGGTTATCCGTACATGAACCAAACTTGGTATATAGACGCTCCTACTCCCTGAGGTACACGAGTTTATTTTATTTTTTTTGATTTTCCCTCCCATCTCACCGCTACAGAATCTGTCAATACTGTCCATATTTAAAAAGTAACATAATCCAAACTTTGTAATTTATATATAAGTATCTAATTTTGTTTTAAATTTAATTTAAATCGATTCTAAGAAGAGTTATTAGAGAACAAATTTTACTCTAGTACTACGGCCACAAACGGCGGCGTGAAGTTCGCTGTTGGAATTTTGTACTCAGAGTTGACAAATACATCCAGTTATGCCAAGTTTAAATAAGATAGGTTAATAATGACGAAAGTTATAGCCGTAAATATTTTCTCTGCTGAAGCTCTTCCCGCAGCTGTTGTTGTTGTTGCTGCTTTGACGTAATTATGTATTGCATACGTACACGCATATTAACCCGCATGGACATGATGATGTAAATGTATGCTGTTGAAACTGTACATGTCAGGACAAACTGGTTTATATATATACATATATAGAGGTGCCCAAACAGTGCCCGAAGCTGTTGTTGTTTTTACGGCTTTGCACAGACACACCTAAACACACACATACACGCAAAGTATTCTACATATACATACAGAGTATTTAAAAGTCGGGACACCCGACTTTAGCTTCTCTACTTGTTTTTTTCTTTTTTTGTGGAAGTAGGTATAGGGTATTTAAGCGTTGAGCCCGCTCGACTCTAGCATTTCTTTAATTAAATAATAATTTAATAACTATCCAACCCAGGACAGATCTCAAATAAAGAAAACATCGAAAATATTGAGTTCAGCATTCCATTCTCGTTTAATTCCATAATTTATGTATTTTCAGGCGGATAATATTTATCATCCTAAAACGTTACCTCTCAACATAACTGAGAAGGTGGAATTAATTTCTGCTAACTTTATACGCTGCTCTGTAGTGACAGAGTCTAACCGAGTAGCCACCTGGATGGACGAACAATTGGGACAACATGGCGCAAAACTAGAGCATTCAGCTTATGTTTTCAATGAGTTCATTATGGACCCAATATCCACAATCCATGTATGTTCTTTATACACAGCAGTGAAAACAGAAAGCAATACAATATATTGGTGGGGCGTATTACCATTTGATCAACGACGCTATTTGTGGGATAAATTCAGAACTAAAACTAAGAAGCCGTTCAAGGTTACCACCTCGGATGTCAGTGTAGGATCTCAAGTTGTCATGAAGAAGTGCCCCATTTATCAAACGGGATCCATTGGATTCACGTGCACCAATGGCATACCTAAGGTTGGACAACTTTTGAATTCAGTATGGGACTTCACCGATGTTTGCCGCATGAAAATTTTAAATATCGGCAGTGGCGTTCTACCTGAAAAATCCCCTCCAGGCCCCTCCAGCACACATTCACATGCTGAAAAAGATGTTACTAAGCCAGCAGTTGCGCAAACCACTGCCAGCAAAGCCGTACAAATAAACTCAACAAGTAAAGAGTCAAACGACCGAATCGATATGCCACCACCGCCTTCACCCGCATCCAGCACTTGCAGTGATACTGGTAGTGTCACGTCCCATAAACGTACTAAGAGAATGACAACTAAGGATGATAGCAATAGTAACCAAGAAGGAAGAAAAGACGAAGAATTATGGCAGCTCAAAGATATTGTCTTTGTCGAGGACAAAGTAGGTCCAATTGGCAAAGTGCTTAAAGTTGATGGAGATTTCGTGGCTGTACGCTTCCCAGCATCGACTGGAAATTACCTAAATAATACTGTTCCAAAGGAGGAAGGCAAGGAGGATGATTGGCAACAATGTCGTTTGCTACGTCGTGAGGATGTGCAGGTATTCCGAAATGCAATGACGTCGCGAGGACCAGACTGGCTTCAAAAGCAACCTAAAAAAATAAACATTAGTCACGGAACTGATACAATGGGTGTGCAGTTACTTACAATGTCAGCGGATACACGTGGAATTCACGTAGTGAAGAAAGTAGCCGGAAAACTGTACTACAGTCTATATAACTTGTACAACAGCAAACAAGAACAAAATTGCCAATTTCCTACAGACTGCACATCATTTGTAGGCTCGTCTGCTGCCAAAATATCGATGGCTTGCAACAATGACTGCAATGGCAATAGTAGCACGATTGTGCTCAAGGACGGAAATGCCGCCCTTTACCCATTGGCTAAGGACTGCATTGGATCTATAAAAGATCCCCAATGGTTCGACTTGCCTCCAGTAAAATCAGTAACTATGACCACAATATCATTACCGCCAGCTACATCATGCGTCAATCTGAAATCAAAAGTGTGCATGATTGCCTTACTTTTCGAGAATCAAAAGTTGATGCCACATATACTACGTTGCGATGTAAAAAATAGTTTTGCAGTTTTGGCACGACTTGAAAAAGAAGACCGTGATGACACGATTCCAGTTATCGAAGAACGTTGTGACGGTAGTCGAAATGTATTTCACGCATGTGTGATAATGTGTGCACCAACGTCCAATAAAGATGCTGTAGACACATCAAACAGTGTATCAGACAAGAAGTCACCCTCTGCTAGCATTTCATTACCACGTGCTGGTGTTTCAACGGCATACGGTACTGGTTTTACCGGTACTAGCGGCAATACTGATGGCTCCAGTTTTGCTACCGTGTCAGCCGGTATGGGAGCGTCTTCTGCATCTGCATTAAACAGAGAGAATCGCATAAGCTTACGTGACATGATGCACCGACTAATCAACACAGAACAACCAGAGCATATAAATCAACAGTTACCTAATACAAGTGACGACCACGCTTATGTACCCTTACCATGGCCAGCAGAATCCTCTAACAACATAAATTCTTCAGGAGCTCAAAATATGGCTGACTTAGTAGAGGATGAAATTTCAAAAATAATTCCATCCTCTCAAGGGCCCAGCACTTCAAGCAAATTGGGCTCGCCTAATTATACACTTGATCTTTTACAACGGCGTGAGCATGCTATTTTAACCCTACAACAAATGTGCTCAAGTGCTGCGCTACGCCCTTATCTGTGCCAGCTTCTGAGTGCGAAAGATGCACAAGGCCAAACACCTTTTATGTTAGCTGTATCTTCTCGTGCGTATGAGGCCGGAATTATTCTTCTTAACACCATACTTATGCTGTCTGATCAGGACACGCTGCTCAAGGAATCAATGATATTCCCTGCTGGGTCGCCCGCCGATCAATCTCCACTCCATGTAATTTGCTACAATGATACATGCTCCTTCACGTGGACTGGTGCAGATCATATTAATCAAAATATTTTTGAGTGCAAAACATGCGGATTAACCGGATCGCTATGCTGCTGCACCGAGTGCGCTCGAGTCTGCCACAAGGGACACGATTGCAAACTTAAACGCACTGCGCCGACTGCATATTGCGACTGTTGGGAAAAGTGCAAGTGTAAGGCACTTATAGCTGGAAATCTTACGAAGCGATTCGCACTGCTCTGTAAATTAATTTCCTGTACTGATTTAGTTACCAAGTTCAACTCCAAAGGTGAATCTATTTTACTTTTCCTTATTCAGACAGTTGGTCGACAGATAGTGGAACAAAGGCAGTATCGTTTTAATGTACGAGTGCGCAATGTAAGTAACAACGGCAGCGCTGGAAACGGCGCCAGTGCGGCCACATCCAGTCGGAAGTCTTCCTCCTTGGATATTGACAACGATATGCCAGATCATGATCTTGAGCCGCCAAAGTTTGCGAGAAAAGCGCTCGAACGCCTATTAATTCACTGGGATGCTGTGCGTTCTATGGTTATGTGCGGAGCTGAGAAAAATGATACAAACTCACAGAACCCTGAGGAAAATTTGAATGTTTTCTTGCAATCTCAGCAAGGTTCTACTTTACTAGACAAGTTTACTCATAGTCTTATAGTTAAATGTACAAGTGATCACCTAGATACTCTACTGCTAACTCTTGTGCGCGAAATGCAAAACTTTCGATTAAGAGGGCGCTCTAGCGAAGCAGAAGAAGTTGCCCGCCGATTTGTTCGTTCTGTATCACGTGTGTTTGTTATTTTTAATTTGGAAAAACAACCGAACCCAGAAAAACGGAAGAATCATTCGACTTGCAGCAAATATGTGCAAAGCTGTGTAAAAGTGTTTCAAACACTGCATCGGATTTCTATTGAAGAACTTTGTGAAGTATCCGAAGCTCTGATTGCCCCAGTGAGGCTTGGTGTAGTCCGACCAACAGCTCCATTCACCACGACTTCTTCAAATCTTGATGTAAGTTAAAATGCTTCCGAATTAAATCGAATATGTAGAACAAATTTATGTTTTCAGAACTCTGACGATTTATTTAGTGTCGAACCATTGGCGCCGTCTAATATAGAGTCAAGTTCTGAGCAAATTGTTACACATGATAGCACGCACGATCAATCTAGTGGCTTTTCAATACAACAGAACTACGAAGTTGTTCCAATGGACGGTATGTGAATAGATATATAGTCTTAGGAGGTGCAAGCTATCTGCTTACTTACAGCACTTAGAGATACTTCAGAATCGGAGGAGGTTACAATTAGAGAAGGCAATTCGCACAGCCAGGACGATGATTTAATAGAAAATCAACGAAATGAAGACGGTATGCCAGAGGACGAAAGTGATAACGATTTTACATTTAATGACGCTGAAACGGAATCCGATTCGGATGATAACCAAAGCAACCAAGATGCACAACGCAGCGTTCAAACTGGAGCTACTGTTGGTTCAGAAACAGGTGATATATTACACTCTAGTTTATGTGAAGCCAAACAAATTGTTTGTAAACCTGTTTATACCCGTAATTTATACAAAAGCTAAGATGGTTAATTATGTAGCACATAATACAATAATAGGGGTTGCGTTCGTGGGGAACCTCGGGTTAAGCGAATTTATGTTAAACGAGACATGGACTTTATATAAAATATGGGGTTATGTGATTAGATTTCACAAAGGCAAAACCAAAAATTACTGTTCAAATTCGCGGTATTTTTAAACTCCAAACATTTTGATATTACTAAAGTTGCACTTCCAAGCTGCTTGATGATTCTAACTCGTATAATTCCTGAGATCCTAAGGATCTCGTAGAACTTCCTATGTACATTTCTCTAAATCCAATTCCACTGAATATACTTTGTATATAAATTATCAAAATGAATTTCCATTTTAAAGTGAGGGAGAAACTTTTTAGTGAAAGTTATAACATGAAAAATTTAAAAATTAAAAGAGTTTAAGAATTAAAAAGCTATCCTTGCAGATATTGGTGTACTTTTTCTGGAAGACGAGTCTGGAGATTCATCAGCTCAAGAGGAGGACGGTTCAGATGATAGAGAATCAGATGATCACTCAGACGAGTTTACTTTTCAAGACCAACAGCTCGAACGTCGCAACACAAGTTCCAATTCCCGGAATGACTTGGCACCCCAAACAATGCAATGGGCTATTCGAAGTCGCGACACTTCTCGGTCATCGATACGTGTTCCAACAGGGTCGAATTTAGTTTTTATAGACCCCATGGCACTACGCCGCTCTACTGTGCCGGCTAACACAGCTGTGGGTGCACCGTCTACCGAACCTCACACAATGGCGACTACAGCAAGCAATCTAGCACGTGCATTTAGTATAACTATACGCCAAATATCCGAACTGTTAGGCATTTTGTCATACAACATGGCAAATAATATTGAAACTTCATTAAAAATAAATAACGATGACATCGTTGCAGTGCAGGTAATCTTTAAAACGATATATTTTTATTTACCAGCTAATAAAAATTCTCCTATTTATAAACAAGGGGTTTATGGAAAGGCGTCTGAAACCTACATGGGATTGGATGTTTTCAGTGATGGACGGTACTGAAGCACAGCTGAAATTTGGAGCATATCTAACAAATTATACAGATCCAACTCATCCATTGCATCCACTTAACCTAAGTGCTCAGTCTAATACCAACCAATCACCAAGTCCGTCTGCGACATCCGCTTCTGTGGGAATTAATGTATTAGGTAAGTATTTTAATTAATAATTAAATACTTCAAATATTATGTTAGAATCGGTTTAAATCTATGATTTCATTTTAAAAAGATTATATTATAGTAATATAAAATTACTTATAAACTTAACTACACACATGAATGAGCGGTAAAAAAAAAAAACGATACGGCCGCAAACCATGCTTTACTATTATAATTGTTTTTCTTTACTTTTGCTTAATTTTAAATACCAATTATTTGTTTATAAACTGATTTGTGTGGTGTTTAATATAACGGTAACATTTTTTTAAAGGCTCTAATTCTCGACGGGATTTTTTCACATACTGCTTATCTCTGATGCGCGCACATACTTCGGAACATAGAGATGCACTGCCTGTCTTAGATATAACAGCATTGCGGCATGTCGCATACGTACTTGACGCTTTTATATACTACATGCGTAACGACACAGGGTTTTATGAGAAGAGTGATACTATTTCTGGTCGTGCAGGAAATCTATTCCCAACCGGAGAGAATGAAGACACCGACGAGGAACTAACGACTATAGAGGAAACTTGTGCAGAATTGCATCCTAGTACACAACCATCATTTCTGATTAATAATCGCAAGCATGCGTTCTTCACTAGGTCAGACTCTACTTTGAGTTTGGGCTGTTCAGCACCAGACGGGTTTGACCTTCCGCTTGACATGGCTATGCCACTTGCCGACAAGCCTCACCTACTGCAACCGAACTCAAAGCGGCAAGAGCTTTTTGCTAATTTACCCTTACTCGGTACAGCAGCTGACAATACCAGCGATTTCAACAAAAGCACCATTGGTGGCTCGCCTACAAAATTAGGTTTCTCAAATTTTCTTAAGACAGACGAATCAGTAGTTGATGAAAGTCCCAATAATCAGAATGTTTCGACATGGTCCGATGCAACAACAACACTTTCAAAAACAGATCCAACAGAATTAGAAAGCGGTTATAGGGTCGATGATACTTCAGACCAAAATATTTATGTACAACTAAAAAAAAAACAATGCTTAGATGATTCAAAATCTGCTAAAGGAAATGATGGTAATTTCATGAATTCACTTTTTTAAATATAACAATTAAAATATACACGATTTTAGGATCCAGCAACACGCAGCTTAAAAATGCCGAACCTATGCAGACAGATGACAATCACGTAACAGATGATGCAAGTTCAAGCCGTACGGATGTAATAATGGCTACAAGGCCAGAAGTTATAATAGCTCCTAGCAAAAGTCAAAATCTTACTACTGTGGGCTCAAGAGACTCAGAGACTGCGTTTCAAAGGTCCGCTTTAACGCCATCAGTTCGAAGCGTTATTGTGCGAGCTGGCACTTCCGGCATAAAACCCGGTGATATTGGATTGTCTGAATGTAATAATTCTTCGATTCCCTCTGTGATGGCTTCTGAAATTGAGGAATCTAAGTGGAATGATAATCGTGCAAAGCCAGCGTTACATACGTTGGTATTTCCGATTCGTGGGTCACTATTTTACACTAATAATTTTTCGGAGTTACCATCTTGGAACTTTTTACTAAGTCGATGGAAATTGGCGCTTGATTTATTTGGGCGCGTGTTCATGGATGATGTGGGTATGGAACACGGATCCGTGTTGCCAGAGTTACGTGGTTTTCCCGTTAAGGAAATGCGTTTTAGACGTCATATGGAAAAACTGCGAAATGGTCAGCAACGTGACCTGGTGCTTTGTAAACTGGAACGCAACCGTGAAAGCTTGATAGTTCAAACCTTTAAAGAATTAAACGCCCAATTTGGAAACCAAAACCGGCGTGCGCAACCACCCATCACGTTTAATAGAGTTAAAGTTACTTTTAAAGATGAGCCTGGCGAAGGTTCTGGGGTCGCGCGCAGCTTCTATACCTCCATATCTGAGGCCTTACTGGCCAGCGCCAAAATGCCAAATCTTGAGTCAGTGCAAGCAGGAACAACCCACAACAAATATGGGGTACCTTTTTCTAGCATTTTGCGAAGCAGAGCCGTTTCCGGTTCCAGTCGAGATCCGCCCACTTTGCAAAGACGAGGTACAGGTAGTAAAATATTGTGGCGCACAGCTCGTGAACGGAAAGCTTTGAATTATGATGCTAGACCATACATACCATCAAGTAATGGAGGTAATTATACGACCCGTTTTCTCAATGTCCGATTATAGTTTACTGTGTGTGTGAACGATGTTTCAACATTTTATTATGGTATATGTGATTTTAAACCCCGTTCTTATTTTTAAATATTGATTGATTTGACATTGAGAAAACGTACGTAATCGCATGTACTCATTTATTTATATATAACATGGTGTTTTTTTATAAGATAATACTATAGCTGAGAGCACAAACGAGCATCTTTCTGTTCATCTACAGCAGCTTGGAGAACGTCTATATCCAAAGGTGAGTAAACCTGAATCAGCATCTTTTCGATAAATATTTTAAATGTCAAATGTTTTAAACAGATAAACTCAATTAATACTACACACGCCTCAAAAATTACTGGCATGCTACTGGAGATACCTACGCCTCAACTTTTGTCTGTTCTGTCATCAGACGAAACGCTTCGTCAAAAAGTAAATGAAGCTGTAGAGGTAATAACTTTTAGGCAAAAATCAGAAGCAAATGCCCAAAACTCGTCAAAAAAATCTCCATCGGTTGTGCTAGTAGAACCCGTAGACGATGATAATGAACCCTTATTTTATTCTCCGGGAAAACGTGGATTTTACACCCCACGACAAGGTTTTGCGACCTTTGAACGTATTAATGCATTTAGAAATATTGGAAGGTAAGTTTTGGCCCTTAATACGAACAAGAAAAAAATCCACTAAATTGGTTTCATTTGTCAGACTTATTGGACTGTGTCTTTTGCAAAATGAACTGCTGCCCTTGTTTCTGCAGAGACATGTGCTTAAGTACATATTAAATCGAAAAATTAAATTTCATGACTTGGCCTTCTTCGATCCAGCATTATATGAATCTTTTAGGCAAATTATTCAAAATTCACAATCAAAAGAAGGGGAGGAAAACATCAACCGCATGGAGTTAAGTTTCGTGTAAGTATTATCTGCATACTAGAATTAACGCAGTTAAATAATTAAATTTTTGTACTATGGGATGTAAGGTGCTTACAATAATTATAAGACACCTCAAAAAGTTTATTTTCAACCCTCGACACGTCATTTCCCTTTGTATTTTGAGAAAAATAAAAATAACAGATATATATAGGGTATAACCTTGGTCATTCCTTATTTGAGATAAGCTTGCGAAAGTACCGTTAGCCTTACTAAGAAAACACACATTTTTGCATATTTGCAACTGTATCATAATGATAAGACATATTAGTATTTTTTGCTGAAAAATTAAAAAGTAATTTATTTTACACAAAAGGGTATGCAGCTGACAATTGTTAATAATTAAGATGCCGACCTTGGGCCTTTCCATGCCCAAAAATTGTCCATAAAATTATGAGTGGTTAAAGTTAAATTGGCTCTCGTCGATTCCACTTATTTAAAATCGACTTTTTGAGTTCCTAAACATTGTCATATTTTTTTGTTATCGGAGTAAACTTGACGTGCTAATATCCCCCAAATATTTTGAATGGGATTAGGACACTGGCTAGTTTATTTTTTCAAAAATTGCACAAATTCCATAGTTTGGCGAATGGTATGAATTTTCGCATTATCATGCATGAAAATGTAGGATTTCTCTCTGTTATCTAGCGAAAATGGAAGCAGGCTGCTTTACAGGATACTTATGTGGCATTAAATAAAAATGTCTTATTTTATTTGGTTTACTGAAGATTGGTTGGTTTAAAATTGGTTGCAATTTTTAATATGTGTCTTATCATTATGATACAGTTGCAGATAGGCAAAAATGTGAGCTTTCTTAGTAAAGCTAACGGTACTTTCAAAAGCTTATCTCAAATAAGGAATGACCAAGGTTTTGCAAAGCCTATACCCCTTATACCCCCAAATTATTATAATTTTTCTCAAAATACAAAAAACAAAGACGTGGCGAGGGTTGAAAGTAAAATTTTTGAGGTGTCTTATAATTATGGAGTGGGGGGTGCATCAAAAAAAAAACTCCAACTCGTACTTTCTCGGACTTAGGAGAATCGGGATACCAAGTTTAGTTATTCTAGCTCTTATACTTTCTGAAATCCTTGCGTGGGATCTGCCACGCCTCCTTCTGTGTGTTACATACATTCGCACAAAACTAGTGCTCGTGCTCGGCAGGCATATGTATGTATGTGTGATGTGTGAAATTTGTATGATGGTATGCTTGTGTGTATATACTTCAAGGCGGAATGTGCGCGATCCGTTTCATCCATTATATCTTTACCCAGCTGTTTTGTCTGCGTTTTTTTTTTTGTAATCTAATTTATTCTTTGAGAACAAGTGGAGAAGCTAGCCGACTTCGAAATACTCTGTATATTTGTAGAACAATTATAAAAATTAAGAAAATTACTAATTATTTTTTTTCGATTTTACCTCCGTTTGTATTCGCGACATCGAATAAAAAGGGTAAAGGGGTTATAACTGCACATTAACATAGTGTGCGTGTCTATTCGTGTTTGTGCCAGTCTGTGCGTATCTCGTGTGCCTGTGCAAAGCAGCAACAACAACAATAGCCGCAGGCAGTGATTACGTATATGGCTATAACTTCCTGTTGACTCGGTCGATCATAATGAAACTTTGGATACAGGCTTTTAATCTCTAACTGGAGGTACTTGAAATTTGAATTCTAAATTTTAAAAATTACGGGAGCTATGGAAAATCGTTATTTGCGAGGGAGAGGGGAAACGGAGGGAAATTCCAAAATACATAGTCTCTGAGATATAGATGATTATACGAACGGCGTTTCCAAAAATCAGTAATAGGGGGAAGGGGGTTGTATAAAAAAAAAAAAAACACTCTTTCACAGCGTACACACATAAGGCATACGGACGGTCAGACCGCTTCTTGTCATGCTGACCAAGAATATATATATGTACTTTGGTGGGTCTGCCACGCCTCTATCTGTCTGTTACATATTCCATTTCCTGAAAACCTAATATGTATACTCATACACTTAATGTACAGAGTATGAAAAGCAAATTTTACAATTTATTTATATAATAGAGTATACCAACTCAGGTTGCGGTCGATCAGATTAAAAACAAGAGAGAACGCTAAAGTCGTGAAATACCGTTAAATACAGTGAAATACCCTGTACCCAGGTAAACTTCCGACACTGAGGTATATGCGCCTCTAGCCGAAGCAAAAGGAAGAAGAAGAGCGAACTTGCAGCTTGTGGGCGTAGTACCGGAGTGAAATTGTTTTGCTAATAACTTTTCTTAGCATTAACCGATTTAAATGAAATTGAAAAAGAAAGTAGATAATTTTATATAAATTACGTTTGCAAAGTTTGGTATATGTAGCTTTCAAAATGTTCACAGTATTGACGAAATTCTGTTGGGTGGAGAGAAAGGAAAATCAAAAAAAAAAAATAAAATAAACTCGTGTAGCCTAGGGACTAGGAGCGTCCAAATACCAAGTTTTGTTAATGTGCACTCAACCGTTTCCGAAATCCAGGCGTTCATCTAGACGGATGGACATGTCTAGGTCGATTTCTCCTTTATGTTTCAAGATTTTGTATACTTGTACTCTTTAAATGAAATGTACAAGAGTATACTAGGTTTGCGGGAGCTGAAAATGTAACAGGCAGAAGGAGGCGTGGCAGATCCCACAAAGTACATATGTTCTTGATCAGTGGGACGAGTCGATCTAGCCCTGTCTGTCCGTCCGTATGAACACCTGAATCACAGAGACTATAAGATAGAGACACCAAATTTTGCACAAAGATGCCTTATGTGTGTACGCTATACGAGTTTGTTTTATTTTTATACTCTGTACATAAAATGTACAAGAGTATATTAGGTTTGCGGGAGCTGAAAATGTAACAGGCAGAAGGAGGCGTGGCAGACCCCACAAAGTATATATATTCTTGATCAGCATGACGAGACGAGTCGATCTAGCCCTGTCTGTCTGTCTGTCAGTCTGTCCATATGAACACCTGGATCTCAGAGACTATAAGAGCTAGAGATACCAAATTTTGCACAAAAATGCCTTATGTGTGTACGCTGTGCAAGTTTGTTTTATTTTTTTGATTTCCCCCCTATGGGGGTTTTTCCCAATTTTCCATTCGTATAATCGCCTATATCTCGGAGACTATAAGACCTAGCAAAACCAATTTTAGTCAGAGATGCCTTATGTGAATACGCAGACAATGTGTATTTTGGAATTTCGCTCCCTCCCCCCTCTTCCCCGCAAATCGTGACTCCCGTAATTCTTGGAATTTCGAAATCAAATTTGGGAAATACCCCCAGTTAGTTATTATGTGTCCGTATGCCAAGCTTCACTATGATAGACCGATTTAACAAGAAGTTATAGCCATAAATATAAGGTGCGTTCCAAAAAAAACAGGACTTTTTGAATCAAGCGCCTCCTGGTGGCGCTATCTATATGTCTGGTACGTTAGAATCTGCTATCTTTATCGATTGTCCAGTAAGAATTTCATGACATTTCATCGATTGGAAGTGAAGTTATTGAGTTTTAAGTGTCAGTATGTTTGTGTTATCGGTGCGAAAATGAGCTAGACCCAACATTAAATTTTGTCTTAAAATTGGTTAAACTTTTACCGAAACGTTTCAATTGATGTAACAAGTTTATGGCAATGATGGCCTATCCCGAAGCAGAGTGCACGAGTGGTTTCAACGTTTTCAAAGTGCTCGTGAGGACATAAATGACGATCAACATGTGGGCCAATCAAAATTCGTGATCACCGAAAATTCCATCGAAACTGTGCGTGAATTCATCAAAAATCAGCCGAAATCATCATTGAAATTGATGGAAATGGAATTGAACATCTCCAAAACATCGATTTATCGCATTTTGACCGAACATTTGGGCTTACGAAAGGTGTGTGCACGGTTTGTTCCGCACAAATTGACTGACGACCACATTTTAACCATTAAGCACTCGCCGTATTCACCTGATATGGCACCGTGCGACTTCTACCTTTTGGAAAAATGCATTTGCCCATGAAAGGGAAGCGTTATGCAGACGTAGAGGCCATTCAAAAGGCTTGCACCGGCATACTGGCGGGCATACCGGCCAACGAGCTAAAACACTCGTTCGACATGCTTTTGGATTGTGCAAAAAGCTGTATTGAAGCAGGAGACTATTTTGAATAAAATAAATTGATTTTGCCGAAAAAAACATTTGTTCCGTTTTTTTTTAAAAAAAGACCTGTTTACTTTGGAACACACCTTGTATATTTGCTGCCCAAGCGCTGCCCGCAGCTGTTGTTGATGCTGGTGCTTTGGTTGACTGCAAACATGTTGACACATATACAAATAGACGCGCCTAGACATTCATACACTAACATAGACGCAATTGCTTTGTATATGTGCAATTATATATCCTTTACGTGAGTTCGAATACCGAGAGAGGTAAAATCGATCCAAATTTTTTTTTTACATTTTCTTAATTTTTTTTTATTTCTATAATTATTGTAAACATATGTACAGAGTATTTCAAAGTCGGGACACAACATTTAACAACATTTTTACTTTCTATCTATTACCGCCTAGGCTAGTCGTTGTTTACCAATCATTCCGAAAAAGCGTGTTAATTTTTAAGGCTGCCCATGCCAGCCCAATGCTCTTCAACATTCATTAATCTTTTTGTTTTATTATTTTAGAATCGATTTAATGAAAGAAGAAGGCGGTGGAAGTCGTGAACTGATCCCCGGAGGCCGCGATATAGCTGTAACATCCAGCAACATATTTGAATATATAAGACGTTATACAGAATATAGACTGATTAAATCTCAAGAAAAAGCACTTGAGGTGAATATATACAAATATTAAATTCGACAAAACATTAAATTTGGTTTTATATATCTTCAGGCTCTAAAAGACGGCGTTTTTGACGTCTTGCCAGATAATTGCATGAATAACCTTACAGCTGAGGACCTGCGGTTATTGTTAAATGGCGTAGGGGACATTAATGTATCAACGCTAATTTCATATACTACATTTAATGACGAGTCCAGTGAAGGGCCCGATAAACTACTGAAATTTAAAAGGTGGTTTTGGAGTATTGTGGAAAAAATGAACACATTGGAACGCCAAGACTTGGTTTGTATTTTGAGGTTTTCATTTATTACTGGAAAAATACTATTTTATATTTGTAGGTTTATTTCTGGACAGGATCACCAGCATTACCTGCTTCAGAGGAAGGATTTCAGCCTCTCCCATCCGTTACAATAAGACCCGCTGATGACTCGCATCTTCCTACTGCAAATACCTGTATATCCCGACTTTATATTCCCCTTTATTCAAGCAAATCGATTTTACGTAGTAAGATGCTGATGGCTATTAAATCAAAAAACTTCGGATTTGTATAAAAAACCGTAATATTAATATTGCCTTGACAATACATCTACTACTAAAATACTTTGTACTTCTTGTACTTTGATGATGATTTCTGAAGAATCCACCTTGACCATTTTTCACATATGAGGACAGTTCATGGTATTCCCATTTTTACATATTTCTTTATGAGACGGTTAAACGAAGCGGCATTACTAAATTAATCTTGCAAATTGGAATAGATCAGAGTTAAATCATACTCATGTAGGAAAATTTGGTTTTTAATCTTATTTATATAAAATATACTTTATTATAATTATAATTATATATATATATATATATATATATATATATAATATATATATATATATATATATATATATATATATATATATATATATAAGAAGAAATAATAAATGCAAACATATTGAAATGTATTTTGTTTCTACTACATTCATTCCTATTAAACATACGTGTATTTGCCTTCAAATGAACATTTCCCTTTACAACATAACGGGAATGGAATTCGAGAATGGCGCGCTCGACTTTTCAATGCATCTTTTACTCAGTCATTAATTTAATATAATTAACGTTTTATACTCTGTACATGAAATGTATAAGAGTATATTAGTAACAGGCAGAGGGAGACATGGCAAACCCCGCAAACTATATATTCTTGATCAGCGTGAAAAGACGAGTCGATCTATGTCTGTCTGTCCGTATGAACACCTGGATCTCAGAGACTATAAGAGTTAGAGACACCAATTTTTGCACAAAGATGGCTTATGTGAATACGTTGTGCAAGTTTGTTTTATTTTTATAGCCTGTACCCAAAGGGTGAAAGGCTATACTAGTTTTGTGCGCATGTATGTAACATACAGAAGGACGTGGCAGACCCCACAAAGTATATATATTCTTGATCAGGGTGACAAGCCGAGTCGATATAGCCATGTCCGTCCGTCCGTCTGAGCGCAAGGACCTCAGAAGGTACTAGAGCTAGAATAACCAAACTCGGTATCCAGATTCCCATAAATCCTAGGCAGGTCAAGTTAATTTTTTTTTGTCTGATACACCCCCCCACTCCCCCGCAATTCGTGTTTTTTTGTATAACTTCCGTAATTCTAGGAATTTTGAAATCAGTTTTAGTAGTTACGTCCAGTTAGTGCTTATGTGTCCGTATCATCATGATAGGTCAATTCTGAAAAAAGTTATAGCCACAAATAAAATCGCTGATCATGCGCTGTCTGCAGCTTTGCCCGCAGCTTTTTTTTAGAGAGTTCAGGCTATGTTACTGTCGGGCTTGCTCGACTGTAGCGTTCTCTCTTGTTTTGATTTATTTTATAGGTTTTTTATTAAATACAAAAGGTTTCAAAACAAACGATATTTTCACAAATTCAGAAAATATAAAAATCAAAGCAAGTATAACATACACTGCGCGACAACCGATTAGCACACTCTATGCTTCTTCGTTTTGAAGCTTAATATCAGCCAATATTATAAAGCTATTAAAATTAACTTTCTTTCTCTTTCAAAAAAATAAAACTCTTGTACTCTTGTACATTTCATGTACAGAGTATAAAAATATTGAGCATGATACATATACGCAGATGCAACGAGGTGGGTCGTGGGCCTTTGGATAAGCAGCCAAACTTACCGGCAGGCCTGTAGTGTGCCCCCACGGTGGGTTATGTGAAGATGGATGCGGCAACTGAAACGGCAGTTGAGTGTGAGGGAGGGTTCTGTACTCACAGAAATCTTTGTCGAGAAACACGAAACACGCTCCGATGTGCCCACCCACCCGGTCATGGTTTCTTGACGCAGCAGAGTACCACAAATGTTTAGCCGGACACCGCCCAACAGGATCGCCCGCCAAACAGTTGACAGGTATTGGCAGGTATCTCAAGGCGCCGTGGGGTATCAATTTACAGCCTTGGTTTTGAGGGCTACACAAGCATGAAATTCACATCTTGTGTACGTCGCCTAAAATGGCTTGGTTGAACCCAAATACTCGGGCCTGTATCGGCTGGTCGGGAGTTTGATTGAATTGAGCAATCTATTGGATATGAAAGTGCCTCTGATCTCGAGTCGATCAGTGCACGTGCTGTTTGGATCGTGTCCGAGTGAAATGGTGAAATGATGTGCCTTGTATGTTTGGATTCGGAGTAATGGCAGCCGTAGCTTGCATGGAAGCAGTTGTAGCTGGAAAGTGATGAGTGAGAGTCACTTGGATTTACAGTAGTACTCTGTATGACAAAATTCGATGTTGTAGCAACTACAGCGTGCGTGGATGCGCTTGTAGCTGGGATCAATGGAGGAGCACCCTGATGCAGAAGTGAAGGTGCCGGTCTTTGCACGTGAAACCATTGGACACTAGTGCAATCCTTTGACTGATTCCCGCTGGCAAAAACAGAGTTTTTTCTGCTAAACGGCACTGACCTCTCATAAACGAATTGGATGATTTTCCTTAGCGCCAAGCCAGCACGTTGGTGCTTTGACGCTTATCTTTGCTTCGACAGAGTTCACTCTTTTAACTGCAAACTCTTTTCGTGAAGGTTTGGATTGACTCTACGGATTGAGTGGAGGTTTCAAACCATCAATTGACTCCACAGCCCGAAATGAATTTAACTCAGCCCAAGTCGCAAAATGGTGGAGTTAAACGTGGATTGTAGATTTACGGCGATCTACCCGTAAATAATTGTGCCACCGCAGGAAAAAAAGCCGGATGAAGCCTTAAAATATATGCACAAGCATACCATCATAAAAATTTCACACATACATATGTAGATATGCCTGCCTGCCACGAACGAGCGCTTGGCTTCTACAGGCCGGCTCGTACGACTCTCTGCTTCTGCCGGCAGCGACTCACGAACACCCGCGGCAGCATTCCTTATGGGTAGCAGCGGGTAGTGAGCACATTTTGCGAACCCTGGTAAATATTTCAAATTAGTAGACGGATTTTGTATTTTTATACCCTGTACCCAAAGGGTACAAGGGTATATTAGTTTTGTGCGAGTGCACATGGAATACACAGAAGGAGGCTTGGTAGACCCCACAAAGTATATATATTCTTGATCAGGATAACAACCCGAGTCGATATAGCCATGTCCGTCTGTCTGTATGAACGCAAGGATCTCAGAAAGTATAAGAGCTAGAATAACCAAACTTGGTATACAGATTCTCCTGAGCCCGAGAAAGGACGATTTTGTTCATTTTTTCTGATCCACTCCCCCCCTATTAACGATTTTCTATAACTCCCGTAATTCTTGGAATTTTGAACTAAAAGTAGTAGTGGTAGTCACATTAGGTTAGTGATTACTATATATATCCGTATACCAAGTTTCATTATGATAGAATGATCGGAATGAAAGTTATAGCCATATAACCAGGCCCCATGCACACATACACACATATGTACAAGTACACAAACACGCAAAGGCACGATTCTGATGTAAATGCATGTATGGAATATTTTATATTTAATTTAGCTAATTAAATTAATTTAGTTAATTAATTAAATTAATTAATTAATTTAATTTCTTTTTTGTGGGTGGGTTGAGCCTGCTCGACTTTAGAATTCCTTTCTTTTTAAATATATTAAAACGATTGGGAAAACGGAAGGAACGTTGTAATTGGGACAGGACCGACATTTCGAGCTGTCGTTGGTTGGCAATCAAGTTTTGAGTGCTGATGGTGACGGAAAAAAGGTCAGTGCCAAATATTTCGAAAAATTCGCATACCGTCAATGGACAGGGTATAAAACGGGGCAGCTCTCTCTCCTCTCAAAGTGTGCCGCTAGCACCGTTTGATGACATTTGCTTGTATGTATACATGTGCGCTCGCTAATAAGCGCCAGAGAGCGACAAAACGGCCGAAGAGCGGAGGCGTGCTGAGAACGCTGCTGACCCGGGCCGCCGGCTTATTTTGAATGCTGGAAATTGTATTTAATAACAATAAACACAACGGGCCCAAAAATATAAATGTTTTGCGCAATGATAATCATTTACTGCATACAAGCACGCATAAACGCGATTCTGATGAAAATGTATGCTGTTGAAAATTGTACATAAACACTTATGTCTGTATGCATGTGTTAAATATTTTATATTTAATTACATTAATTTTTTTTTTGGGTGGGTACTATTTATACTCTGTACATGATATGTACAAGGTTTTCGGAAGCTGAAAAATGTAACAGGCAGAAGGAGGCGTAGCAGACCCCACAAAGTATATATATTCTTGATCAGCATGACAAGAGGAGTTGATCTAGCCCTGTCTGTCTGTTCGTCCGTCTGTCCGTATGAACACCTGGATCTCAGAGACTATAAGAGATAGAGACACCAAATTTTGCACAAAGATGCCTTATGTGTGTATTGTATACGAGTTTGTTTTATTTTTTATTTTCCCCCCATTCCCCCCTATGGGGGTTTACCCGATTTTCCATTCGTATAATCGCCTATATCTCGGAGACTATAAGACCTAGGAACACCAAATTTTAGTCCAAGATGCCTTATGTGAATAAGCAGACAATGTGTATTTTGGAATTTCGCTCCCTCCCACCTCTCCCCCGCAAATCGTAACTCCCGTAATTCTTGGAATTTCGAACTTAAATATCCCCAGCTAGTGATGATGTGTCCGTATGCCAAATTTCACTATGACAAAACCGATTTAACAAGAAGTTATAGCCATAAATATATTTGCTGCCCAAGCGCTGCCCGCAGCTGTTGTTGATGGTGGTGCTTTGGTTGAGTGCAAACATCTGACACGAATAGATGCTCATAGGCATTCATACACTCACATAGACACAATTGCTTTGTATATGTGCAATTATACACCCTTTACGTGAGTTCGAATACCGAGAGAGGTAAAATCGATCCAAATGTTTTTTAATTTTCCTAATTTTTTTAATATTCTATAATAAACATATGTATACAGAGTATTTCAAAGTCGGGACACCCGACTTTAGCTTGTTTACTTGTTTTTACTATTGTTTATGACAAATTTCAATTTACTACTTTGATATTGGTGGTTGCTAGAATGCTGTAGGGACCCTTTCCCTTCCCAAAGGAAAAATTAAGCTGGTACTG